ACAGGTTCAACATACATCTGGACTGTCGGTTTAGGAACATCTTTACATTTCCGGTAGAAGACGGCGAAGCGTATTAAATCTGCAACACCTGGCCCCCATTTAACATTCTCATTTTTCTACTATTTTTATTTCTCTCACTCATTATATATATATATATATATATATATATATATGGCGCAAGATCCAATACGGAAAAGGAGAAGAATGTCTTGCGCCAGTTTTGAGTATAAAATGTTTACCTATTCTGAAAAATTCATAGCCTTTTATTTTTCATCTGGACTTGAATACCAACTATTGTTACAGTTGATGAAAAATGTAGAAACGACACCTTCCTTTCGTACACACACACACACACACACATATATATATATATATATGTTAATAATTTTCGATATTTATAGAAGAAAAGTGCTTAATATGAGAGACAGAACGTTTATAGATACAGACAATGTGAACATGGGAATCAACATTGCATGGTGACTGTCAGGTTCACGCTTTAGCACGAAGTTCAGACCAAAGCAGACCGCACTGAAGCGTGAAACTGACAGTCACCATGCAGCTTATTCTTATATTCTCACCCTCTCATATATATATATATATATATATATATATATATATATATATATATTGATTTAAAGAAAATGAATTTCTTTTGTATGACCATTTTTTTTTTTTTTTTTTTTTAGCAGGACCTAGGTACCTTTCGGCCAACGCTTCATCAGGGTCTTTCGTTGGCAAATGATTTTAAACAAACAATGAAATGAAAAGAACGCCAAAATGGTATGGTTGGAACACGTCTAAAATTTTACGAAGATATATATACGTAAAATTAAAATAAATTTACGATTAAAATAAATGCGTAAATAATAAATTAATAATAATGAACCAACCTGAGCAGTAAAATAGAAAAATAAGTTGCTCATATATCAAAAAATAAATTTAGCGATCGTGAAAAATTCTCCTTTTGTTTAGAAAGCGATGGTTTAAATAATTTGAGACAGATGGCTTCCAAAATAGACAGATGATATTTGGACCTGCCTACGCATATAATTGAAAACGAGTCCATTGTGAAACGTTTTGAGCATGACTCATTTTCTAATAGGTGTTGCCCGATCGCCGAATCGTGAGCTGATTGCGAAACACGAATGCGATTATCTAAATTTAATTTAATGTGTCTGGGTACATGTTGTCCGATTCTTGTTTCCAAACGAAGACATGTTCGCCCTATATATAAATTTTGATAAGAAAGCTGTAATTTTGTTTTAACAAAATTGTGTAAAAGATAGATTACAATGTTTGATAGAAAATTAGGTGTCTAAAAAATTGGAAGATATTAAATTCAGTATTTAATTTTTTAATTAACTAGTTTAGGGATTTAGTACAAGTTAACTACTATTGTAATAAATATATTTATTTATCGAGAACATAAAGAAATATTTAAAATTGCAATAGTACATTTACCCGAAACATTGTGATTCACAATATAGGAAGAAAACTACGGTAACAATGAATTCATCTATATTAATATCTAAAATAATTTGTGAATGCAATTTTTATTTATTTTTATATCGGTAAGTTTAATTAAGGTTTAGGTTTCATTATTTAATGGTATTAGGGTAATATTAAAGATTTTGTTTTTTCTTATATATCTCTCACAAATCTATTTCTATAAATTTATACATACCTACTAACATTAATAAGTACAATATATATATATATATATATATATATATATATATATATATATATACACACACACACACACACACACACACACAAGTATAGGATTGGTGTATACGGAATAAATTCCAATAATACAAATACAATTCTTAAAATAGTGCTCAGTACAGAGTAGAGCAAATATTATTCGAAAATTATAACAAATATGTTATAAAATCGCTACAAAAATAGCCATTTTGTTTCAACACTTTTGGTGTCTTAACACATTCAAAAGACATCAGAAGTGTTGAAACAAAATGGCTATTTTTGTAGTGATTTTATAACATTTATGTTATAATTTTCGAATATATATTATATACTAAATCTACAAGTGTTAGGAATCAGCCAAAGAATGTTTTTTAATACAGAAATATTAAAAAGTCAGATCCAAGAAGAGAGCTCGATGTATAAAAAGATGAAGAATATTAAGTACATTGGTTGCTTCCATGTTTTCAATTAAACTATCACCTTTAATTAGATATTGCAACTAGAAAATTATAAATTTGTTGAAGAAGTCCAGGAAAATAATTCTCAAGAGTAATTTTTGTTTTAATGAAATTTTAATTTTATTTTAATGAAAAAAAAAGAAGTAATTTTAATGAATTTAGAATTACTTTAAACGGACCTGATATTTGGGCGCGAGTTTGTGTCGTTCACGAAAATAATCAAGCAACGCAACGTAGAAGACCCAAATTGCCCAAAATGGTTTCAAATGCAGAAAAACATCGGTTCTTGAACGTCTCGTATGTCGAACAAATCAGTTTTCGAACAGAAAATTAAAGATGGAAATGTTTCGGTTATCAAACAAAATTTCGATTCTCGAACAACATTGCCGAACCGAATTAACCCGAACGGAATAATTTCTGAATCGACCGCCATTTTGTATACATTCGTGTGTTCCTGCGTGCTTTTCTTTTCCAATTTTGTGACTTTTCTTTTTTACATTGATTCCTATTGGAAAAATAGGTTCGAGTTACGAACATTTCTGATTACGAACGGCCTTCAGGAACGAATTAACTTCGTCGACCGAGGTTCCACTGTATACCAATTTAATGGAATTGCTACTAGTTTCGCCACATTCAGTAAACCTGTGGTCTATTATTAATGTATGGAAATTAATATTAAATCAAAGAAGCTATCTGAAAAAGCAATTATAAATGTTGCAAGGAATGTTAATATCGAATGAATACAAAAATTAACTTAATGAAATACTGACGAAGGCTTTAGAATGAATGATAAATATCTTTTTGGATTAATCATAAAACGTGACACCGCAAAAGATTTTTTTATTAATATTTTAATAAAGGCGGATATTATAAGCTAAAATTTACATCCCTATTATTCAGATAAATATATCTTGCAAATTTTACTGACATGGGTTGTTTAATAATATTTTATTGTGAAAACATTAACGTAAAACATTAATTAAAAAGGCTGGCATGGCGTCTAGACAAATATAAAGAGAATTTGACATATAGATAGATTTTTTAACTATAAAGGTGTACTGGCTGATAAAATGCCAACTCTGAGTAAAATATGTACGACGTTTGGTTCTTCTCTGAAGTAAAAATGAAAGGTAAATCCCAGTCGTTATATTAGTAGGTAGTGTGGTAGATCCTTTTTTCTTTTTTACAATGTTGTTGTACAAGGCCCGATCGATACTCGAGGTAGAGTGTTACAGAGTAAGAGGCACAGTTTATTGAGATGTGGGGGGGGATCATTGAACAGATTAAGATTGTAGTGATCAGAGAAGCATCCTCTTGGGGACCGGTTCCACAAAGTAGCAGTTCGTCGGAAAAGGAACTTACATCTCATCAGTGATATACGAGGGATATGAAGGTAGGTCATTAAAATATGAGTAGCATGGCGAGACTTAGCCGTGAAAGTTAGAAGTGGTGAAACTAATGAATATCGTCCGTGTGAGCACTTGCCGTGGAAATAGCGACAGAGCAACGAGAGGTTCGCGATGTTTCGACTGTAGGGAAAGTGGTTGTAGGGTGGAAAATAAATTCAGAAAGACGTGCTAATTCAAAGTTAATGGGTGCGTAAATTTAAGTTGAACTGTCAATTTATATTTATTGAGGTGTAAATTCAAAAGTAGTTGTTCAGTTGTAAATTCACCTTCTTCAGGTAAGTAGTTGTTAGGAGTATAAATTCAAATATAGCTGGGGTGTAAATTCACTTTGTTAGAGTATAAATCCAAAAGTAGTTGCTGATGTGTAAATTTAAAAGTAGTTTGTTCATTACTGAATATGTTTTCGTTGAATTTAGCAAAGTTTGGCATTTGGTAAAAAATTAGTTATAAAATTACCGTTAAGAATGATGCAAGAAAGTTATCCGTGAAGTGTATTTTTTACAATAATGTACACACTGCACAAGACCCGAGAGCTACTTGAGGTAGAGTGTTACAGAATAAGTCTTACAGTTTATACGGATATGTGGGGAAGATAAGTGTTAACCCTAAACCTGAACAAGTTAAGATTGTAGTGATCAGGGAAGCATTCTCTTGGGGATCAGTTCCACAAAATAGCGGTTCGTGGGAAGAAGCTGCTCGAGGGGCACTTACATCTCCCAAATGGAATACGAAGGGAATGGGGGTGGTTCGATACAATGGGCGTGGCATGGTGGGTGTTAGCCGTGAAGCTTAGAACTGGTGGAACTAAGGAATGTAGTTCATCTGAACACTTTCAGAGAGACATGCGACGTTTCGTTTGTGAGAAAGTGATTGTAGGCTGGAAAATAATTCGTCGCCCACAAGGCCGCGGAGACGCTGAAAGTGAAGACTGCCTATATATTGCAGCAGTACTCCATATTCGGTTCATGTAGGGGTAGAGAATAGCAAAAAGAACAGACCATTATTCCATCATCTTTAGCGATGGATTGTATGTACGAATTCCACGTGACGTTTACGTCTGAATAGGCGATCAAGGCAAGAGGCCTACGGAGGAAACTCCTGTTCACCACGATTGGTGAAAGTTCTGGGTATTCTCGGTGATGATACAGTCAATATGGACATAGATATAGGCAGATGTCTAGCTAGATATCGCTGGCTAAATAGACCAATTCCAATTATTATGCGTTGGCAACGCGTTTTAACATATCCTCCTGGCGTAGTCTTAAACTGACGGCTTCTATTTTCCTCCATATATTGCAACCATTTTTCGTGCACTTCGAGGTGGTAGAATGGTTTACAAGCTTGTCTAGCTAGATCAGTTATCATTGAGTAGTGAGTTCGATACTCACTGCCTGCTCTATACTTGAGGCCTTGTGCTACATCTAGGCTACGCTTCGTAAATCACTAGATAGAGAGAGCAACAGACAGAGAGAAGGACAGAGCAACAGACAGAGAGAAGGACAGAGCAACAGACAGAGAGAAGGACAGAGCAACAGACAGAGAGAAGGACAGAGCAACAGACAGAGAGAAGGACAGAGCAACAGACAGAGAGAAGGACAGAGCAACAGACAGAGAGAAGGACAGATAGAGAGGGAAACAGGCAGAGATAGATAGACAGATAGAGAGGGAAACAGGCAGAGATAGATAGACAGATAGAGAGGGAAACAGGCAGAGATAGATAGACAGATAGAGAGGGAAACAGGCAGAGATAGATAGACAGATAGAGAGGGAAACAGGCAGAGATAGATAGACAGATAGAGAGGGAAACAGGCAGAGATAGATAGACAGATAGAGAGGGAAACAGGCAGAGATAGATAGACAGATAGAGAGGGAAACAGGCAGAGATAGATAGACAGATAGAGAGGGAAACAGGCAGAGATAGATAGACAGATAGAGAGGGAAACAGGCAGAGATAGATAGACAGATAGAGAGGGAAACAGGCAGAGATAGATAGACAGATAGAGAGGGAAACAGGCAGAGATAGATAGACAGATAGAGAGGGAAACAGGCAGAGATAGATAGACAGATAGAGAGGGAAACAGGCAGAGATAGATAGACAGATAGAGAGGGAAACAGACAGAGAGAGCAACAGACAGATTAAGAAATAGAGATTTGGAGAGAGAGAGGACGACAAATAATGGCGTAGGTCAAGTGTGTAGTTTTGAAAGAAAGAAAGTGCAATGGAGAGTGTCTGCAAACATCTTCATTAAAATTCATTACCTCAACGGGTGTGATGAATTATTGAAAGAACCTGCTGTAGATGAGAGGATAGATAATATTACAGAGCATCTTGAACGAAGAGGCAAGGCAAAGTCAGAAAGGAAAAAAAAAAAAGTGTCATTAAGGTTGAAAGGAGAAAAATGTGGGTGGCGAGGATTGGGGTGGGGATGTAGGTGTTTGAACAAGTGTGGGAGATATAAGTGCCCCTAAGAGGATGAATTAAAAGCAAAGTTCGGAGGAAGAGGATGATAAAAAGAGGAAGAGGTTAAGAATAAAAGAATGCGTGGTAATAATAAAACGACTGGATGAAAAGATACAAAAAAGAAATTAAATGTAGACAATGAAAGAAGGAAGAAAATGAATACGAAAAAAGAAAGAAAAAAAGGAAATATGACAAAAAAAAAAGAAGGATCATAGCAGGAATGAGAAAGGGTGACAAGAAGGACTGATGATAGGAAAGAAGTCTGAGGATAGAAATGAAAGAAAGTTGGTGATAAAAAGAAAGGATGATAAAAATGAAGGAGTGATGATAGAAAGGAAAGAAGAATTTAAAGGAAATTCAGAAAGTGAAAAAATAAAGGACCGAAAGCAGTGACAAAAAAAGTAGGACAATGAATTATGGTATCACTAAAAATACGAAAGACGAAAAGAAAAGTTGTAAGATATAAAAAATGGAATAGAAACAGAAAAGAAAAATAAAAGAAAAGAAAAATAAAGGAAAATAAAAATAAAGAAAAACGGAATGTTTTCGCGGCGTAGGCATCTTAAAATGTATTTCATAACAAAGAAATAATTCGTAACATATATATATATATATATATATATTACTGGAAAATGGTAATACCGAAATATAATAACGTATAAAAATGTCTAAACCGGTTTACTGTTCCACTCTTGCCAGAGAAAAAAGATTGGACAAAATGTGAATAGCGATTAAAAAAAAAATGATACAATCATTATTTTATTTAAAGAAAATAGAAAATAAGAAAAAGAAAATAAGAAAATAGAAAATAAGAAAAAGAAAATAAGAAAAAGAAAATAAGAAAAAGAAAATAAGAAAAAAAAAAAAGAAAAGAAAATAAAAAAAAAAAGAAAATAAAAAAAGAAAAAATAAGAAAAAAAGAAAATAAAAAAAAAAAAAGAAAATAAGAAAAGAAAATAAGAAAAAAGAAAATAAGAAAAAGAGAAGAAGAAAAGAAAGAAGAAAAGAAGAAGAAAAAAGAAAAAAAGAAGAAAAAAGAGAAGAAAAAAAAGAGAAGAAAAAAAAAGAAAATAAGAAAAAAAAGAAAGAAAAAAAAAATAAGAAAAAAATAAGAAAAAAATAAGAAAGAAAATAAGAAAAAGAAAGAAAATAAAAAAAAAAAAAGAAAATAAGAAAGAAAATAAGAAAGAAAATAAGAAAGAAAATAAGAAAGAAAATAAGAAAGAAAATAAGAAAGAAAATAAGAAAGAAAATAAGAAAGAAAATAAGAAAGAAAATAAGAAAGAAAATAAGAAAGAAAAAAAGAAAGAAAATAAGAAAGAAAATAAGAAAGAAAAAAGAAAGAAAAAAAGAAAGAAAAAAGAAACGAAAAAAGAAACGAAAAAAGAAACGAAAAAAGAAACGAAAAAAGAAGAGCAAAAACGAAAAAAGAGCAAAAACGAAAAAAGAGAGAAGAAAAAGCAAACAAAAAGAGAAGAACAAAACAATCGAAGATGTGAAGAACAAAACAATCGAAGATGTGAAGAACAAAACAATCGAAGATGTGAAGAACAAAACAATCGAAGATGTGAAGAACAAAACAATCGAAGATGTGAAGAACAAAACAATCGAAGATGTGAAGAACAAAACAATCGAAGACGTGAAGAACAAAACAATCGAAGATGTAAAGAACAAAACAATCGAAGATGTGAAGAAAAAAAACAATCGAAGATGTGAAGAAAAAAAACAATCGAAGATGTGAAGAAAAAAAACAATCGAAGATGTGAAGAAAAAAAACAATCGAAGATGCGAAGAAAAAAACAATCGACAAAAGAGAGAAAAAGAATTAGATAAAATACAAAAAATACAATTGAAAAAGACGCACAAAGGAGATAGAAAAAAGAAGTTGAATAAAATGACGGAATAATATAAAGAAATTGAGAGAGAAAGAAAAAAAAATATTTTCCCTATCTTTTTTTTCTATATAAAAAAGAAAACAACATGGAAAGAAACGAAAAATTAGAATTTAAAAAAAAAAACAAACTCTTTTGCATAAATCCATGATATAAAAAGATGGAAAAAAAAGGGAAAAATGAATGAAAAGTAATAGAAAAAAAATGAAACTTTTTTGTCAATTCAAAATGGCAGAAGGTGATACATGACCGTTGCTAAATGTGAGAAATTGCATGTCCTCACCGAAGAGAACAAATCACTCAAATTCGCATTTTGTGGTCGGTCATCTAGAAATTATTCTGGCCACTGCTGCAGATAACAGGATGTGTCGATGTGAAAGAGAGAAAAAGAGATAGAGAAAATAAGAGAAAAAGAGACAGAAATAGAGAAAATGAAAGTCACAGAGAGATAGAGACAGAGAAAAATGAAAGTGAGAGTAAGAGAGAATATGAGGGAAAAAATAAAGAGAGAAGCAAAAAAAAAATGATAATGAAGTAGGAGAAAAGAGAAACAGTGAAAACGAATATTAAAAAAATGGGCGGTTAACGAAATGTTTGGGCGGGAAATGAGAAGAGAAATAACGTAAAAAAAACAAAAAAATAAAAAATAAAAAAAAAAGAAGCGATCTCCATCTGTTCTCGTCAAAATTTCAAAATTGCCGGCAAGAAAGAAACTTAAAAAAAAATAAAAAAATATCGGCATTATCCATGAAGATCTTGACATTTTTTTTTTTATTGATAACAATAAGTTTGTTGGCATTTTGTTAGTCACGACAATGATTGCTACTTATGTAGATAATGACGGCGATATATAACATTAAAAAGAAGGGGATGCTTTACTTTGTCATTTTTGCTGTTGTACTTGTTCTTATGGCACCGAGCCGCTTGCAGATTACAGAACAAATAGATTCCCCACTTTTCCTTCAATTCATTCAGAAAAAATAAATAAGACAGAAAGAAAAAAAAACGAAAGTAAAATAACACGAAAGAAGATAGCTGGGTTGGTTATGGGAAAAATAATGTCAAAACGAAAAAGAACGAACGTAAAAATACGTTTTGTTTTTAATAAGTAACCACAAGAATTGTGAGAGGGAGAGAGATGGAAAATAGCGGGGTGGGGTGAGAGAATGAGGATAAAGAAAGAGAGTAAAGTGAAACGGCGGAGCGAAGAAAAGACGAACGAAAGGGAGGGAAGAGAAAACGAATCAAATGGAGTGAAGCGAACAATGAAAGATGGAAAAGAGAAGGAAGAAAACAAGAATTAAATAGAGGGAAGAAAGGAGGAATGAAAGAGAAGGTAGGGAAGAAGAATGAATGGGAGACAGGGAGGGAAGAGAAGAAGAATGAAAGGTAGGGAAGAAAATAATGAAACGAGGGAATCGAAGAAGAACAGAATGGAGGGAAGGATGCGAAGAAGAAGACAAGAATGAAAGGAAGAGAAGAAGACAAGAATGAAAAGAAGAGAGAGAAGCGGAGAAGAATGAAATATAATAAAGTACCAATGGCAACATGAAAAAAGAAGTGAGAGTTGAAGAAGAAGATAAGAAAGAAATGTAAAGAAAGTAAAAATAATAATTCAAGAGAACTAATATGTAGAAAGTAATACTGAAGTACCATCCGCAGGGGTCCGTTAATTAAGTAGGCGCTCGTACAAAGAATCTCCAGATTTTTATGGCAACGTCAAGAGGCTTGATCATAATACTACTAACACGACTGCGACTCATGATAAAAACAATGACAGCAACAATACCTGCAATTATATATATATATATATATATATATATATATATATATGAATGAAAAGAAAGAATGGAATGGAAAGCTGAAAACGATCTAGAAATCTTGCCTATAAGTAGGCACAAAAAAAAAAAAAAGAAACAGAAACGATTTGACTCAACCTGTTTAGTTATTTTAAAGACGCGGAATCACATTAGACAAGTGCGTTACCCCCTGTCGTGTTTGAAGTTGGAAATACAACCATCATATTTTCCTAAGAAGTTATTATTCATTTAACCTTACATGCAAACGACTAATTTGTCTATTTAAGTGCACCTCTAAATTTTAATGCATAGAATTTGGGGATGAAAGAGTCTTCAATTTACTTGTGATTTGATAACGTTTGTGATCAAATTATATATATATATATATATATATATATATATATATATATAAAAGGCTCAAACACTAATATTCCAGGGTTATAATTTGTTACTTTGGAATCGTAACCACGATCTAATTCATCAGACCTAAAATTTCAAGTTTTGAATTTTTAAGTCTGATGATTTGGATCGTGATTACGATTCCAATGTAATAAATTATAACCATGTAATATTAGTGTTTGAGCTTTTTATATTATATTCTTACTCTGTCCTGGACATTGAGTTCTATCTGGCTTCTATCCTCTTGGGAATTATATATATATATATATGAGAGAGAGAACAATAAAAATGCTTGTAAAATTTGTTTTATTCACATAATGAATATATCTATTCCTGAATAAATGCAATTGGTAAATTATCGTCTAAATCCGCAAAAATTATGATAACACTGGCACCTCATTTTAACATGTATATTTACCAAAATTCCACAAAAAGACTTGAAATTATAAAGAGTAAATTATTTCAATAAAATCGCCATTAGCTTCAACAACTGCCTCCAGACGACTTCGGAATCTCCTGCATTTCTTCTAGACGGTCTCCTTGTTTAAGTTGGTGAATGCTGCCATTATCTTTGCTTTCAGTTCATTTTTGCTGTTACAAGGAGTTTTGTTGGTCGCTCGCTCAACTGTGCCCCACACCTAATAATCAAGGGGGTTGTACTCTGGGGAGTTAGATGACCAGATCTAAAGGGTGATGTGGATGCAGAAATTGTCTGACAGCCAGGACTGGATTTTCCTGCTTGTGTGGCATGGTGTAGAGTGTTGTTGCCAGACATAGGGTCACCCAGCAGACAACCTCTTGACCCAGAGCAGCACTACCTCCTCAAGTCACTTGATGTAAGACTCCGTCTTAAGCCTGAGGCCCCTTGGGAAGATTAATGGAGGCATAACTTCGCCATCACCAATGATTACTCTAAACACCTTTGTAATCGCAATTAGACTCAGCCAACTTTTTCCGAATCCTCTGCGCTGTTGTCAGATTGACACTTAAACACTCTGAAATGTTCGTAGTGGAAATTCCGTCGGGAATACCAAACAGTACAGCATGTCCTTTCAAAATTTCCGGCAGCGTGAATTGCGTCATAGTCCTCTTTTTCTTACTGATGGTGTCCAACTGACCCGACTTTACTGTGCAGTAGACAAAATCCAAAGCAACGCGCATGCGCAAAATAAAAAATGGCGATAATTTACCCAACGCACCCTGTATAGTTCTGTCTCAGGAACCATTATTAAGTCCGCTTATCCAGGCTTAACGGTGGTTTTTCTCTATAAAGAAGATGTAGGTTTGAACCCTCTCAGAAGGCATATTGTCTTTATTAAAACTCTAGAATGCACAAGCCAGTAGATGCAAAACGAAACGAAATAGGGATATCTTCTCGAATATTTATATCTGCTAAATATAACGTCTAAAGTAAATTAAATAATGTCGGATTATAAGTCATGTCGATTTATAAATAAAATCCACTAATAAAAATAAAATCTATTATCTTAAGATGCGAAAAGGAAAGTTGTTCTGAATGAGAATTTTCAGAAGTATCGCATTAGAGTTCTGATTATTAGCACGTATATTACGTCGTGCCAATAACTCATAAATAAAAAACTATTTTGTTTTGATTGCGAAACGGAAAAGACATATCAGAGACGATGTTGTTCTCCTTTTCCTCGTCCATTTTGCTTCCTTCCTTTTTCTGTTTAATTCTACTTTACTTTTTCCACTTTTCCTTCCACTTTTTGGTTATTTCTTTAGATATTCCGTCTTTTTCGCCACCTCCTTCTTCGGTTCCCCTCTTGTAGCATTTTAAATTTTTCCCTAACACTTATTTTTCTCCGTCTTCGCTTCCCACTTGATATTCTTCTGCGTTTTTTCTTCTTCTTTTCCACTATTTTTCATACCTCTTCTATCAATCCTATTTATTCTTATTCATCACCATTCCCATCTTCAGTCCTTATTTTGCTCCTCCTACCTATTCTTCTCCCCTCTCTCTTCTTCTCACTTCGTATGTCCATCTTTGCATCTCTTCTCGCTTATTTTCCATCTCAATTCACTTTTCCCATTTCTGCCTCGTCTTCTTTGTTTTTCCACATTAACCCCCCCCTTCTCTTATTATTATACACCTTCTTGTCATCCTCTTTTTACTTCTCTTGTATTTTTTGCTTTCTTTATCTTCTACCTACTTCACTCCCATTAAGCTTTCTGCTTCTCTTATAATACCTCTTTTGCTTTTCCATTTTCTTTTACTTTCTATTTATTTCTCTCCCTCGTTCTCTTTCTTTTTTTCGTCATTATCTTTTCTTTTCCAGCTTTTTCAGTTCTTCCTTTTTTTCCTCCTTCATCCATTTACTACTTATAGACTCCTATTTATCTATGATTGTTCTTCTCTCTTGCTCTCTCTATGTCTGTTCATATTCATCTTTTCCTCTCTCTTTTTGTTTCAGTCTGTTCTTATCTATCTCTTCCACTTCCTATCTACTTCCTCTCTTTTTTTTTTCAGACGTTCCCCCTTTTCATTAACCTTCACTTCTATATTTTCTTCTCTTTCAGTAAAAAGAAAATCATTTTCTCACTATTTTTTTTAAATCTACCTTCCCAATTTTACCTCATTCTCAACGTACATTTTAAAGAAAATCATTTTCTCACTATTTTTTAAAAATCTACCTTCCCAATTTTACCTCATTCTCAACGTACATTTTAAAGAAAATCATTTTTTCACTATTTTTTAAAAATCTACCTTCCCAATTTTACCTCATTCTCAACGTACATTTTAGACGAAGACAAAAATCATTAAAAAATATCCTACTAATCCTCAAAGATGCGTTCCTGGTTTTCAAAAAACCCCGAAATATCTGGTAAATGAAACGAACTGATAAACTATTTTCCAAAAGATAAGTCACTTCTCATTTTCATACATTCGACATATTAGCAGTTTCAGCCGTTGCCCGATGACAGAAAGAATTTAAATAAAATTAGTTACCAATCTCATTCCATTCCTATCTATTCAAATCTATCAGTCTGTTCATATCTCTCTACTATATATATCTCTCTATGCGTTCTTGACCATATATATATATATATATATATATATATATATATATATATATATATATATATATATATATATATATATATTGAAATGGACAAAGTCCGACAATTATTTTTAAGACATTTTTTTATGTTTATACGTTCTTTTTTATAGATACAGATATTTAAGTAAATGCTCTGTTTATAATACACAGGATTAATAACATTTACCGGCCTGAATTTCCGAGAAATTTTCATAGAAACTATGCGTCTTCCGACAGGAATCGAACCTGTATCCTATACAGAACCGTCATATAGCCGACGTGGCTTTACCGATTGGGCCACAGAGCATTTACTTAAATATTTGTATGTATAAAAAGAACGTATAAACGTAAAAAAAAAAAAAATGTCTTAAAAAATAATTATCGGACTTTGTCCATTTCATAATGTGAGACGTCATTTGTTTACATTTGGATACGCATTGAGCAGATATGAATGTATGAGAGAAAATCATGGAGATATTCAATAACCGCCCACGCGGTTGGATGCGGCACAAGGTCAAGTTTATTGTCGGGTATCCGAGTCCGGAGGCTCGGCCAAAAATTCCCTGTAGACCCCGTAAAAAACGGGGTCGGGTAGCTGTCTCCCGAGACGACACACTGCTATTCTGTCTACCACCCCAGACGAGAGACTGCTCTTCAGCACAGCCTCGTCTGGGTTCCTCTCTGCCCTGCGGCAGAGAGTTCGACAAGCACACCTCTGAAGTAATTCGGAGAGTGAGATATTCACCTACCACCCCACATGGTTGGATACGGCACAAGGCCGAGTTTATTGTGGGGGTATTCGAGCCCATAGGCCCGGTCAAATATTCTCTGTAGACTCCGTAAAAACGGGGTCGGGTATCTGTCTACCACTCCAGACGAGACACTGCCCTTCGGCACAGCCTCGTCTGGATTCCTTTCTGCCCGGAGGCAGCGAGTTTATATAGCACACTCCAAAGTAATTCGGAGAGTGATGATATTCACTAACCGTCCCACGCGGTCGGTTGTGGCACAAGGCCGAGTTTATTGTGGGGTATCCGAGCCCGTAGGTTCGTGCTAAATTATTACCGTAGACCCCGTAAAAACGGGGTCGGGTATCTGTCTACCACCCCAGACGAGACTGCCCTTTGGCATAGCCTCGTCTGGATTCCTCTCTACACAGAGGCACAGAGTTCGACAAGCACACCTCCGAAATAATTCGGTGAGTGATAGTGATTTTCCAAGCGTAGCTCAGATGTGGCACGAGGCCGAAAGTATACTACTCAGTCATAATTGTGCTAGCAAGACAAGCTTGCTAACCATTACACCGCCTCGAGGTGCCCTAATTCGGTGAGTGATCCGTTAGACATCATGCTAATTCCCATATATACATTTCCTTTACGTGATCTATTTATTCAAA